TCACAGTCTGTCTATAGGCAGGAAACAGAGAGTGGGCCGGAAGTGGGTCCCAGCTATAAAACCTCGAGGCTGGGCTCCAGTGAGTCTCCACCTCCTAAATGTTCCAGCACGTTCTAAGGCAGCACTGCCCTCTGGGGGCCAAGGGTTCAGACGCACGAGCCTGGGGGGTTGATTTCACACTCAAACACAATAAAGGTTTTCCAAACATCTACTGAACTCCGTGTGTGTGCTCGGCAAGGCACTGTAGCATCGCTCCCCAGTCCTCCTTCCCGATCTTGGCGGCACTTCCCGCCTCGGCTTCCCGCCCCACCTGGTCCCTTTGCTCTTCGGAGGGTCGACTTTCTGTTCTTGATGATACCATTCCCCAAACTGACTCCTATGTCCTTCCTCCCAGCACTCTCAAGGTTTAAAAACTTAACACTATTCCTGCCCCAGTGTACCCAGAAGGCCACTATGAAACACTCAGTTTATCGTAGACATTTGTCCCCAGGCTGTGAATGTGCCCTGCCCTGGTGGGCAGGTGGTAAGCACTGCACCAGGTAGTAGCCGGCTGGGAAACAAGTCTACTTTGCTAGCAGAAATCACCATCGTTCCCAATGATTCCGCTAGACTCCTCCCTTAGGATGAGGATGCTGAGAGGGAGGGTTCCACTGGCCATTCAGCACCACGTCTTCTGGAGGGACTTCCCAAGCCAACCTGCTTTACCCAGTTACCGACAGAGTAAAGCTCTGGGAAAAGCTCTCTGCCTGCCTTAGCAGCTCTGTGAGAGGGTTTTGAAACTTTTTAAGAACTTAATGATATGGTAATTTTTCAAGTAATTTTCCAATAAAGCAGAAAGAGCTCTGATAGCTGTCATCAATGTGTCACTTCCCTCCAGCAACGAAAGCTGAGGAGGCATAATCAAATAGCAGGAATAATTTCCTAATGGAAACTTTGCTTTGGACTGCACTTAAGAGGCAAGAGAGGCTGAAAAGGGGTTCTGTGGAACAGCTGCTTTTATTTGTTGGTAGAAACACCATTCTTCATATCAAACAACAAAAATTACCAAACATGTTCTTTAGAACCCAACTCTAAAATAATGATTGGAGGACTGGAAAGATGGCTTGAACAGTTAACCGCACTGGCCACTCTCACAGAGGACCTCAGTTTGATTCCCAGCACCACATGGTGCTTCCCAACCACGTGCAGTTCTTGGAGGGTTTCTTTGGGCCTCCAAAGGCTGCATACATATTATATAAATGAACTCATGCAGGTGCACACACACACACACACACACACACACACACACACACACACACACACACAGGAAAATAAATAATAAGACAGCCAGACTTAAAAAAAAAAAAAAAAGAACGATTTTGAATGTTCCATTTTACCCCTAAAAGGTATTTAACAGAAAAGATGTCGAGTTTAGACTTCTTATCCATCTTCTCTAGATGGACCAGGAGATCTGTTGTGCTTTGAATATGAAATGTTCCCACAAGTTGCTGTGTTTGCGTGTTTGGTCCCAGCTGGTAGTGTTGTTTGGGAGACTGTGGAACCTTTAGGAGATGGAGTATTGATAGAGGAAGCCCATCTGGTTTTATAGCCTGGCCCCACTTCTCTCTGCTTCCTGTGTGTAGAGGCAATGTGACCAGCCAGCTTGCTGCTTCTGCAAGACCTTCTTTCCACGATGGACTGTATCCCTTTGGAACTATAAGCCAAAATAAGGCCCTTCACTCTTAAGCTGTTTTGTGTTGGTCTATTCCATCAGAGCAACAGAAAAGTAACTAACATGACATCTAAACTATGTTTCCAAAAGTCCATTTAAACTGTAAAATGCCCAAGTGACATGAAATGATGTCTGAAAAGCTCTCCACCTTGTTATGCCCCTTTTAGTGCCTGAGTATAATATTCTTGTATGGCCTACATTTATAATTTTATGATTCTTTGCTGCCAAAATTGCAGTGTTGGGGGCTTACTCCTTTCTTAAACATTTATCAGTCTTACCACAGCATTTGCAGCAATCAAGGTTTTTTTTTGATAAGTGGGTCAGTGAATGAGTGAAGACTAAGGGAATGTCCCCAGGAGTACATTCATACATTCATTCATCTGTGAGTATTTAACATGTTCACAGACAAAAATGTAACCTCAGCGCTATTTAGGGACAATGAAGATGAAAAACAACACCAATAACAACAACAACAACAACAAAAACAACCCACTTGGTTTTGTCTGAATGTTGTAGGGACAGGATCTTATCCCAGTTAGTGAGGTAGTCAAGCAGGGGTAAAAGTTGAAAGACTTGTCATGGTTTTTATGCATTGCGTCACTCCGAGCTAACACAGAGAACTGGTCTACCTGTGAAGCTTTCAGTCCATTCTATGATGTGAGAAGAGTCAGGCAGCCCATCCAAATGACAACAGCTAAAGAAGCCTTTGAAAGAATTCACTCTCCCCAGGAGCAGTGATCCCTGTTCTCATGCATCCAAAGTGCTTTAATGGGTGGCCCTGTCTCCTGATTCTAAGTGCTCCTTGGGAAGCCCAGCCCTGAGACTCTGATCCACAGTATTAACAAGGTAATAATAGATTAAATGGTAATTGCTTTCTCTTTTCTTTAAAGAGGGAGGGATCAATTATTATAGCCAAATACCAAAACACAAGTATCTAAAATACTCTAGAACAGGAAAGAATTAAGAAGCAATCTTATTTTAAGCAGAATTCTTTAAAAAATTTACTATTTTTAAAATACTATTTTTATTAATTCTCTGAAAATTTAATATATGCATACAATGCATTTCGACCATATTCACTTCCACTCCTCCCCCTACTTCTTCCCAGATCCATCTTCATATCCTACCACAACTTTATATCTTCTTTCTTTTTTTAAATAGCCCATTGAGTCCAACTAGTACTGTCCATATATACATGGGTGTGGGGCCATCCCCTGGAGCATGATTGACCTACTAGGGGCCATACTCTTAAACAAAACTGGCTCTCCCTCCTACCAGAAACCATTAACTGTCATCAGCCCTTCAGTTAGGGATGGTGACTCATGAGCCTGTTCCCTCTCCATGCTAGAGTTTTGACAGGCTTGGTCTCCTGCAGGTCTTGTGCAAACAGCCACAGCTTCTCTGAGTTCATGAGGACAACAGTCCCATCATGTCCAGAAGACACTTTCAGTTCAGTCCTCCCCAGTCTCTGGCTCTTATTCTGGACCCTCTTTCACGACAGCCTTTAAGCCTTGGGGAAGAAGGTATGATACAGGTTTCCCATTTGAGGCTGAACACTTGGGTAGTGGTTTCCTTCAAGACTGAAACATTCCATCTCCCAGCAAAAGCTCCTTAAGGCAGAAAGTAAATGGCCCCAAAGTAGTTTCAGGAAGTTCCTGAAACTGACCAGATTCACTAGGCCCCTCCCTCCCAGAGAAAGCAATAAAGGATGCTGTCACTCCCAGACAAGCCAAGCTGCAAAATACTCTAAGACCAGACTAGCTGCCTGGAAGAATCACAAACCAGCTAAACTTCTTAGAAGAGGGTTAGACCAATTGAGGCACCTGGAAAAGGGCACTCTTCAACCCATGGAGCTGCCTGCAGGCTGTGCAGTGTGCTCCAGGTTCCCAGATTTTGTGAGCTCTCACCCATGCTGGGATGGGCTTTGGAATGCAGCTGACCTTGAGTGATTTCTGCTTCTGTAAGTAACCCCTAACTCATATTCCTGTAATATCCCAAATAAAACTCATTAGTTCACCAAGTTGGGTTTTGGTGGTATACATATTTGGTCTGCCTTGGGCTCCCTCTCTGGAGTGAATAGACCTGTGTGTAGCATTTCCCAGGAAAAGTTTTGTTACACAACAATACTCTACAGTTACTGGCTCTCTGCACTTGATGATGTATGAGTTTTTGTGTTAACCACTGTCCACTGCACAGAGAGAATCTGATGAAGTCTAATGTACCAGGCTTTTTCTTTTAGGCCACTAACCAGATCCCAAATCATGACACAGACTTATTATTAGTTATATATGCTTGGCCTAGCTTAGGCATGTTTCTGGATAGCTCTTTTAACTCAATTAACCTGTTTCTCTTTATTTACCTGTGACCTCGGGGCTTTTTACTTTCCTTCTGTATATCTTGTTTCACTGCTTCTCTATGTCTGGTTGACTGGTTGACATCTGCCTGGCTTCTTACCCCGGGCGTCTCCCTCATTCTCTCCTTCTCTTGTTTTTTTCTCCTTTCTCGAGCTTAGATTTCTCCTATTTATTCTTTTTGCCTGCCAGCCCCACCTATTCTTTCTCTGCTTAGCTATTGGCCATTCAGCTTGTTATTAGACCAATCAGGTACCTTAGGCAGGCAAGGTGAAAACACATGCAAAATGTCTTTACATAACTAAACATCCTACATCATTAAACAAATGCAGCAGAAACAAAAGTAACACACCTTTACACAGTTAAAGTAATACTCTGCAGCATAAACAAATGTAACACACCTTTGCTGAGTTAAAATAATATTGTACAACAGTGTAAAATTAAACAAAGTTCTTGTTTCGGAATCCCTCCTTCAAGCTGTTCAACATTTAAAATATGTTTATAAGTATATAAAAGCAAGGGTCTTAGTGATGGTCTTCAGCGGATTCATAAGGGGATTTTATTATCCCTAGCATACAAAGGAAGAGAGTCAGGGCTCACAGAACTTGCACACCATGCTCAAGGTCTGAGACAGAACCCCGGGGTTCTTCACCCCCTTTCCCTTCCTAACCACACATCTTCATTCAACCTTCCCAAGTTAATTGTGCAGCCTAGGAGGAGTGTGCTTGATAAGCTGAAGCTTGTTAGCAACCAAACAGCACACCAGACTTCCCTGCCCATACCACCCACTAACCAATGGTGGAGCTGATCTGTGGACCCGGAACTTTCTCGACCATGTATCACAGCTCTCAGGAGCCTACACCCCGATAGTAATATAACTGTTTTCACTCTGGGTTTCTCAGTCTCCCCCAACCTCACTCTCTTGCTCTTTTACTTACCCTGCTCTCTAGCTCGTATTCAGTTATCTTGTTTAGCTGTCACTGGAACAGTCCTGAGCTCTTGTCCCTGCTGTGGACGGATTTCCTAGCTTAGAAGCTTTGAATTGGAATGGTTCCTCCTGTGTTCCACATTGTGGTGCTTCTTGACGGGCCTGCCATGCTCCATCTTCTCTGAGAATTGCATGCACTCCATTGCAAATGAATCCATATTTCCGAAATTTGTAATTTTTCAAATAAAGAGCAGATCACCTCTCTTCTTTAATTATATTTTTCTTCCAAGACAAACCTGGTCTCCTTAGCAATCTTAATAAAATCTGATTTATTTGTAATTAAACCCAGAATTCAATTAACTAGCCTTTACATTTTTACCCTTGCAGCACAATGGGATAAGATCTTTTTCACAGAGACTAAGCCTGCGGCAGCTGCACAAGTCCCTGCAAGCAGGTTCCTGTTTAAGTGACACTGAGTCAGAGATGTATTAACTCAGAAGAGACTTGAAGGAGGAAACAAAAAGCTCTTGTCATCTAATAAGTAACTGCCTCAGCTCTGTTTGGCTGAAAACGCAGTAACTCTAAAAATAAAACTTACTGTAGAGCGTTCTTCTTTCTTTCATTTTAAAAACCAAACTGTTGAACTTGCCTTTTTGCATTCCTGCATGTATTATTCTCATTATTATTTAAGACAGGTTCTCACTGTACAGCCCCGGTTAGCCAGGAACTCACAGAAATCTGCCTGCATCTGTCACCCCAGCGCTAGGATTCATTGCATGCACCACTATGCTAGGTTACATGATGTACTATTTTATAAATGGATTTAGGTGTTATTATTTGTAAGGAATGGCTTTGGTGAAGAACAGGGAACTCATTCTTTGGGCTCACACATGTGTTGAAATACAAATTTCAGGAAAATTGTAAATGTTCCAGATTTGTTTTCCATGAAACCGGACTTAGCTTTAATTTTTCACATTGACAATGGTTGCCTAATAAATCTATCCTATGCCAAATAAAACCCAGATTGTTTTTATCCAAATCTTCAATTACTTTACCACTTTATACATTTTGATGACATCAAATTCTTCCTTCTATTGAAGTTATTTGCACAATTGTATATTTAAAAAGGAGAGCTCATTGTGTGATAATGGGGAGCATAGGCTTTACTGACCCACCTTTGCATCTCTCTGGCATCTGGTAAACTCTCAGACATTCCCTGCCCTAGTCCATATGACACACTATGGTTAAAATTATTTTTCTACAATTCAGTTTTGATGAAGTCACTACTGGGCTAAGGACCTATAATTTGGAGGGGAGGGAGTTCTAATACTTAGAGTTTATAAGAGGCCATCATATAAGAGATGAATAAACATTTATAAACTTTCATGACTTGTAACAATCATTTGATATAATCACGACTTTCTCTCCCTCTTTTTTAAATTCTTTTCTCACACAATACATCCTGACAGCAATTTCCCCTCCCTCCACTCCTCCCAGTTCCTCTCCATCTCCCCTCTCCCCCAGATTCACTCCTCTTCCATTTTCCTTCAGAAAAGAACAGGCCTCCCAGGGATATCAACTGAATTCAGCTTAACAAGTTACAATAAGACTAGGCACAAACCCTCATATCAAGTCTGGACAAGGCAACCCAGTAGGAGGAAAAGGGTCCCCAGAGCAGGCAAAAGAGTCAGAGACACCCCACTGTTAGGAGTCCCACAAGAACACCAAGCTAACATCCATAACATATTTGCAGAGGACCTAGCACAGACCCGTGCAGGCTCTGTGATTGCTGCTTCAGTCTCTATGAGCCCCTGTGAGCCCTGCTTAGTTGATTCTGTGGGTCATGTTCTCCTGGTGTCCTTCACTCCTCTGGCTCCTACAATCTTTTTTCTCCCTCTCCTGTGGGGCTCCCCGAGCTCCAAGTGGAGGGACCCAATGGAGATCTCCAATTTGGATTCTTTCTCCACCTATTGTTCTGGCTGTGGGTCTCCACGTCTACACCCATCGGCTGCCAGAGGAAGCCTCTCTGATGACAACTGGGCTAGGCACCGATCTATGAGTATAGCAGAATATCATTAGGAATCATTTCATTGACTTTTTTTTCTATCCTATGTCTCTGGGCTAACTAGCCTCTGGTTCCTGGTCATCCAGGCAGTATTGAGCATGGACTCCCTGTCATAGAGGCCTCAAATTAGACCAGTCATTGGTTGGTCATTCCCATAGGTTCTGCACCTCCATTACCCCAGAGCATCTTGCAGGCAGGACAGATTTTAGGTCAAAGGTTTTGTGTCTGGGTTGGTGTCCCAGTCCCACCACTGGAAGTCTTGCCTGGTTCAGTCTCTGTATCCTCCATTACTAGGAGTCCTCCTTAGGGTCATGCTTGTAGAATTCTGAGAGTTTCTGCTGCACTAGGAAGAACCTATGATTTCCTGTAGTGGTTTCTTGACTCCCACACTCCTGCGCTACCTAGCACACAGAGCATCTGTGATCTGGTCTCAATCCGCCCTTTCTGGCTCTAGTACAGAAGTATATTCCACTGAAAGTCTCTCTGCTCCCTCTGGGAAGCTCTGCTGGGTTTCCCATTCATTTTGTCCTCACAAACAATAGTGTCTCAAATCTAGTCCGCAAAGACACATCTTGCTTCGGACCGCGGCAGCACTTTTCTTGTCTCTTCTACACAGATGTCACTATTCCTTGAGTTTTTAGGATCAAAGTCTGGCCCTACCAGTTCTCACAAGCAAGGTTTGACCACCCATTCCCAACATGCCAATTAAAGAGACCAGAAACAGTGAAAAGCAAGGGAAAGGGATTTATTCAGTGTGGCCACATAAGGAGGAGGAGCAAATGCAGAGGCCCGGAGACATTCCCACCATCCCAGAGCCAACTTTGGACACTGACATGAGGTTTAGGTTTGAAATGAGGTCATGAGGTATGTACAAGTAAGCAGACCCTGTCAAAGACGTGGTCTTACCCATCAGTCACCCATCCTCATCTTAGGCCCTGAAAAGTGTTTCCCAGAACTATGTGAAGTCTCTTCTTGGGAGGCAAGCTCTCCTGTGACTGGCACCAGGCTTCAGCTTTTTCCTTCCTTTAGCATGAGGTTCCTGGGAAGTTTTTGATTCTTTGGAGTCTACTGTTTCAAAATTCTGAGAGCTGAAGGGGGCCACAAGTGTCTCTTTAGAGCGTCAATTCTCCCAACAGAGTAGAGATGTCACGGCTGTCAGCTTTAGCTGGAATTACAATAATCTGCGTTTGTTTTATGTCCTAAGTCTGAGGATAATAAGAATAATATGTTTGAAAAAACATGGAGAACAAGACTAGAAAAGCAGAAGTTTGAATTCTGCCTCTGTCATTTGGGAACTGTGTAGGTTTGGAGCTGTCACCTGTGTGTCTGGACTTCCTTTACTACTTCTGTGGGAAGTTGTGGATTCCTGGGGCTGGGAATATGACTCTGCGGGTAAAGTATTGGCTGCACAAGCGTGAGGACCACAGTGCAGATCCTCAGCACCCATATAAATGCCAGATGTGACTGGCAACCCATTTGTAACCCCAGCACTCAAGATGAGGAGATTCAAGATCTGCAGAGCAAGTTGGCTATCTAGACCAGCTGAATCCAGGAACCCTGAGTTCAAGAGAGAACCTGCCTCAGTGTGTGTGTGTGTGTGTGTGTGTGTGTGTGTGTGTGTGTGTTTATATCTGTGTGTGTATAGATGAAAAGAAGGACTATTGCAGATCTAATCTCAGCAAACTTTATTAACACATACACACGGAATAGATGTATTAACTAGATTGGTTCATTTTTTCACTCTCTCTCTCTCTCTCTCTATATATATATATATATATGTCAAATCATAACTTGATGTACCTTAAATACATGAAATTTTATTAATCAGTTATACATTAATAAAGGTGGAAAAGTAAAACTAATATGAAAGAATACAAATATGAAAAAAGGCAAATAAAGTATTTATTATTATTACATTCATTTTTATGTGTGTGTGTGCGTGTGTGCGTGTGTGCGTGTGTACGTGTGTGGGTGTGCACACGCCACAGCACACATATGGAGGTCAGAGGACAGCTTCTGGGAGTCTGTCCTCTCCTTCTATCGTATGAGTTCCAAAGATCAAACTTAGGCCATCAGACTTGGCAGCAAGTGTTCCCATCTGCTGTGCCATCCCATAGCCCAAAAGAAATATTTAATTGAACAAAAATCAAAAAGGTCTGAACTACTAGTTATAGATTTATCATCTAAGATTATTTTGTACTGACACAAAAAGAAATGTGTTAAAATGCACAAGGCATAGTATTGAGGGAGAAAAGAGAGAGAGAGAGGTTTTTACCATGAAGATCCAAGATCTTGAAACCACCCTCCACCCCCTTCTCCCCTAATCTTACATATTTGATGTTTTTCAGTGTCTAGTAATAATGTGGTCTAGCAGGTTTTGGATAATGTAAAAACATACGAATATAAAGCAGTTCCAAAAGGGATGGTGTCTTCTGCGTCTTGCTAAGACCAAGGAACTACAACAAAAGTTCCCTGCCTGGCCCCTGTAAACAACATTTGCTGTTAATCCAGCCTCAGAAAAGAAACTGCTGCGACATTGTGGTAGCCAGCTTCCCCTCGCTCTAACCAAAACCTTCCAGCAATCATGTTTGGAACAGAAGGCTGGTCTTCGCTCACAGTTTCCAAGGCCCTGGTTTATGATCAGTTGACCTCGTTGCTCTCAGGCCAGGCGTGAGGCAGCCCACCATGGCAGAAGCACAGTTTGGAGTAAAACTTCGTGTCTGGGAAGCAGATAAAGGGAAAGAGGACTAAACTGGAACCCCATGATTCTTTTCTTTCTTTCTTTCTTTTTTACTTTCTTTTTATTTATTCTTCTTGTCTTTCACATCATGCATGTTGATCCCATTCATTTCCCCATCCCTTTGTGTCCACCCTCTGTCCTTGCAACCTCCCCCACCCCCCAAAAAATTTAATAAAATAAAAAATTTAAGAGAGAAAAAGAAAGAAAAAAAAAGGAAATTCTTGTCATGGAAGCTGTAGGGTGATACAGTCAGTCATGCAGTAAGCCCTTTTATCCATATGTATTTAGTTGCAAGCGTTCATTGCAAAGTCTGGTTCGAGGCCTCTGGTTTCTGCTACACTCTTGATGCTGGGCCCTCACTGGGACTCCTCTTGGATATCCTGTTGCTGGCTGCCCTGTGTTGTGGAGATCCTGCAGCTTTGGGTCTGCAGGACCGGTCCCTTCACGTGCTCCAGCAGATCATAGACAGGGTGGATGTTGTGTTGGGCCAACTCATAGCCCTGGTTCTGGGCCTGGAAAGTTGTAGGATTGGTGAGCCTGGCCCTGTTGCCCAGTCTTCTCCACAGGGTGAGCTCTCCAGCATTGCCCAGGTTAGTTCACCCTTTGCAGTGATGAGCAAGGGGTAGGGCCAGATCTCCTTTCACACCCTCAGGGGCGGCTCTCCCACATTCAGACCTTCCAGGCCAGCTCTACTGTGTTGCCCAGGCAAGCTCAGGGGCCAGTCTCCTGAGTGCTGCAGTTAGTGAGAAGCGGGGCCAGCTCTCCCACCTGCCACAGGTGACGAAGGGCAGGGGCGGGAGAGGAGGGCACATCTCCCTCACCAACACAACTGTATGGCAGATGAGGAGCGGAGCCAGATCTCCAATGCTCACATTCTCAGGACCGGCTCTCCGGTGACCCCATCGACTATGCTGCTCAGACAAGGTGCAGGGTCCACTTTCCCAAGTGCTACAGCTGGTAAGGGGAGAGTCAGCTACATCACAGCTGGAGGCGGTAAGGGCAGGGGGTGGGGCATCTATCTTTTCCTCACCCGTGCCACCACATGGCAGATGAGAAGGGCACAGCCAGCTCTCCATTCTCACGCCCTCAGGGCCAGCTCCTCCACGCCCCTGCAAACAGGGTCAGCTCTATTGTGCTGCCCAGGTGAGGTGTAGGAACCTCTCTCCTGAGTGCTTCAGCCGGTGAGGGGCAGGACCAATTCTCCAATTCTGTTCAGCCCTATCCTCTTGGCCTTTCGGTGGTATCAAGAGCCATGGACGTCATCACAGATCATGACTGCATCAGAGCCATGAACCCAGACATGGGCCCCAGGAGCAGCCCAGGCCCAGACATCACCATGGCACTGGGTAGCAATCAAACCACTCACCTCGGCCTGCTCCTCATCTCCTTCACCTCTCCAGATATGCCTGTCCACGGGACATGAACCATTCTGTCTGTCTATATCTCTTTCCCATACCACACCATACATTTGCTCACCATAATAGTGCCCATCTCCGGGTGCCAAAAGACGCTGGGCAAGTCCGTGTTTTTTCCGTAGAGCCTAGGGTGGACTGGCCTGGGCTGCGTGTAGGTCTCTTTGTCCTGTTCAGTCTGACATGATGCTGGGCATCTTTTTTTGTTTTTGGTTTTTCGAGACAGAGTTTCTCTGTGTAGCCCTGACTGTCCTGGAACTTGTTCTGTATACCAGGCTGGCCTCAAACTCAGAACCCCCCTACCTCTGTCTCCCGACTGGGATTAAAGGCGTGGACCACCACCACTACCCAGCTATCCCACAATTCTTTACAAGACCTTACTACCAATGACCTAAAGACCTCCCACCAACACCTGATAGTTATTGTCCCAAGAGCTCTGAGCCAGGATCAGGCTTCAATCATGTGGGCTTTGGGGAGATGCTCAGTATACACACGAAGGCAGGGCTGGGCAAGTGAGACTATCGACAGCTGAACTCTCTGTTCCTATGGGTGTTTGATTACTATGGCCTTTCTGTAGAACTTGAGCATGCCTAATTCAGGAGGTGGAGAGATAGAGAAGTAAAGAAGCGATTGTTAGGCAGATGTGAGGACCAGAAGTTGAGTCTCCAGAACCATGTAAAATCCAGACAGCTGTGGCAACCGCCTGTAATCCCAGTGCCCAAGGAGCAAGCTGGGTATCTAAACTAGCAGGAATTGGCAAACTTGGGTTTCAGCAAGTGACCCTGCCTCAATAAATGAAAATGGAGCAGCCAAGAAGATACTCAGCATCAGATTCAGGTACACGCACACATACATGTACTCACATGTGCCCACACATGTAAACATTCATGCCTGCCCAGACATAGAAGCATACATGCAAACATGTTTGCATGCACACCTCACCACATCACCCCACTCCCAAACAACACCATTCTAAGAACTTCTTAAATATGTATTTTTATTTATGTATATGTGTATATGTCTGTGTAAGTACATGCCACGTGTGTATGGGTGCCCTTGGAAGCCAGTTGGAGTTACAGGCAGTTGTCTGCTGCCTGTCATGGGTGCTAGGAAACCAAATTTGGGTTCTCTGGAGCCATCTCTCCATCCCCTAAGAACCTATTCTTAATAAATGACTGAATATTCACTCAAAGACTGACGCATACAAATGTGACATGTGCCAGTATTTATTTACATCAACAAAAATTATAAGCACAGTAATAAAATGGTTAACTAGATTGTGGTGTGGCCACATTGTTAAATCATATAAAGCCATGTAAACCTTGTTTTTCTTTATTGTGGAAGAGCACACAATATGCTAAATACAAAGGTGAAGTCACCAGATAAAAGTAAAGTATGATCCCAACTATACACAGAACTGTTTATTCATAGGAAACAACTGAAAAGATTTAGTAAAATGTTAAAAGTAGCTATTACTCAGTTGTAAGTTGTGGGGAAGTTTATTCATGAATATTCACTGAATTTTTTTTTTTTTTTTTCGAGACAGGGTTTCTCTGTGTAGCTTTGCGCCTTTCCTGGATCTTGCTCTGTAGACCAGGCTGGTCTCGAACTCACAAAGATCCGCCTGCCTCTGCCTCCCAAGTGCTGGGATTAAAGGCATGCGCCACCACCACCCGGCTCACTGAATTTTTATAAAGAATATTTGCTATTTCTATCATTGAGAATTTAAAAAAATCAAGTATTTAGTTGTTAATCTTGATTACTGCATCTGATTTCAATATTGAGCCAGAAAAGAAGTACATCCTTATAAAAAACAACAAACAATAAAGAATTCCCTTATGTAGAGCAGGCTAGCCTTGAACTCACTCCATAGCCCAGGCTAGCCTTGAATTCAAGATCTTTCCAACTCAGCCTTTCAAGTAGCTGGGATTACAGGCATTAGTGCTCTGCACTTAGCTGAAACTAACTTCCTTCCTTCCTTCCTTCTTTCCTTCCTTCCTTCCTTCCTTCCTTCCTTCCTTCCTTCCTTCCTTCCTTCCTTCCTTCCTTTCTCCCTCTACCACTAAGCCACATCCCATCACTATGAGCACACTTAAATTTTTTTTAACATTTATTTATTTTGTTTTATGTGTATAAGTATTTTGCCTCTGTAAAGCAACAATGCTTTTAAGACTGAGCCAACTCTTCACCCCTGGGAGCATAACTTCTTTTTTCTTCTTTCTTTTAGCTTTGTGAAATAGGATCTCTTCTGTATAGCCCTGGCAGTTCTAGAACTCACTATGTAGATTGGGCTGGCCTGGATCTCTCAGAAATTCATTGTCTCCCCGCCCCCCCCTCCCCCAAGAACTGGGATTAAAGTCATGCATGTGCTACGATGCCCAGCAGGGAACATCCTATCACTTTTTCTGCCCACTGCTGCTAATTTGGAGGAACGGTACCTCTGCACCCACAATCTACTCTGGAAATGACTGAAGTCTGACCACAGGCGTCGCTTCCTGCCCTCTGGAGATTCTCGACTACAGCAGTAATTCTCCCCAAAGTCAGAAGTCCATCTCCCCAACTGAAGGAACTAAAACCAAAACAAAACAACCCACTTTTTATTTTGAAATAATTAGAGACACAGGAAGTCCAAAATAATGCAGAAATGTCCTTTGCACCCGACACCATTTCCTCTTGAAAGGACTTTTAAATGTAAGTCTATCATTGGTTTCACTCCTCTAAATCATGACAGTGGGAAGCAGGCGGTTCTAAGCTCAATTCCACCCCACTTTTGCTTCTCTATTTTGAAAACATGGAAATCTCTTTTTTTCTAACTTCCTGTGGTTCACCCTGAGTCACAGATGTTTGACAAGAAATCCGAGTGCGTTCTGCACTGTAATTCTACTGTTTGGGAGGACATCAAATGTGATCATTGAACCAGAAGGCCTCACTTGTCAGGCCAAGACTCACACGCAGACATTCGGCTCTGTTTCTGATGGAAGCAGCTTGGCTAGGAAGACACAAACAGATGTAAACACAAAGCCACATCATTTTTCCAAGGTAAGGGTGCAGAATTTTTCTACTTTATGTAAATGTGTTTTCTCAGCCAGCTGATTAGCTCAAGTAAACTCAAAGACACGGTAAGTACAGAAGATGTGAATCTGCACATAAGCTGCCCCGAGAGCTAGGAAACATCTTATAGAATGAACATCAGGACTGTAAGAGTTTTCAAACACTCCTAAGCACTCCATAGCCTGAAGTGTTACTCTAGTTATTCTTTATTAAAAAAAAAAATTCAGGAGTCAGATAGTGGGGTAAGAACCTCAAAGGTCAGAGAAGCAGAGAAGCCACCTGTCCTTCCTACCTGCTCCGTTCCTTCCTCCAAACATAGATCCTAATCCCCTTCTGCTCCACCTTACTACTTCCTGCCCTATGGTCCTCAGTCTCTGTGGTTAATTTTGGTCGTCTAGTGGCTAACTCCACCATCTGACTCCAAGCAAGCTTTATTTATTAGAACACAATCAAAATTATCATACATTTCCCCCTTTTTGTCTAAAAAAGTAAAAAAGAAAAAGAAGAAAAGAAGGTTTTAACTAACATAGTAAAACCATATACAATACATACAATAACTATATACATATATATACATGTAAGAATTACATTAAAAATGTCAAGTCTATTTGCATTTGACAAATTCAGAGAAAATACTCCATTATCTATCCTATTTTGGTGAGTTCAAAGTGTTGTACCAACTTTACTTTCCATTCTAACTTGTATTACCAACCCAAAACTATCTTTTGATGTCTCTCAACCTTATGGACTTTACACCTCTTTTGTGAGTTTCTTTTCTGAGTCTGGAAACAAGGAAAACTCTAACTCTAACTATCCAGTCTTCAACTACATCAGAGACCTGAGAAGGAAACAATATTACCGGAGTAAATTGGAACAACTTTCAAAACTAAGAAATGACAGAAATACCTGGCTGCCTGGACAGTCACCCAAGATTCCTCTGTAATGTTGGGGCATCCATCTTTGGCCTACAGATCTAGAATATCTGACAAACTTTTCTGTGAAGCAAGAATTTTGAAAAACTGTCTTACCTTGTCTTGACAAAGTTGCAGTCACTTTCTTTTGTGTCCTGCTTGTCCAATTTGGACAACATACTGTCAGTAGTCGAGGCACAGGTAGTTTTTTTTGCTCAATGGCTAATTTTTTGCCACAAAGAAAGTAAACTCCATATGGAGTTTGTTCGATGCCTGTCATCTTCTCTGAAATAGATTGGTGCTGCTAGAAGACATGTCTTATTGTCATAAAAAAATCTTAAATGCCAGATTACATAGATCTCTAAAGTTTTTGAGATCTATCTATCTAAAATATGTCTATCTAAAATATATCTCTGTTTAACCTTGAAAATATACCTAACAGGAATACAGTTTTATTGTACTAGGTGACTAACTACTAACCTGCATTTCTTCATTATCCTAAATAGTTTGTAATAATAATTTTCAAGGACTAGAAATTTGCATTACATTGTTAAATGAGCTGTATAGGTACAATACCTTGAACAAAAGTTGGAACATATGTAGAATATGTTCTAACAAAAATAACCCTAAATTTGTATCAATATACAAAAATATCTTAAACAAAAGTAGAAACATATATATAGTATAACAAAAATAACCTCAGATTTTTATCAAAAAATTGCAAAAATCCATATCAATGTAAAATATTTAAGACTAGTAGTTGATTTTTTGTTTTAAAAGTAGGTTTAGAGTTCGAGGCCAGCCTGGTCTATAGAGCGAGCTCCAGGACAGGCACCAAAACTACACAGAGAAACTCTGTCTCAAAAAACAAAACAAACAAACAAAATACAATGTTTAGGGGCTGGAGAGATGGTGCAGTGGTTAAGAGCACTGGCTGTTCTTCCAGAGGACCTGGGTTCAATTCCCAGCACCCACATGGCAGCTCACAGCTGTCTGCGATCCACTTGCAGGGGATCTGACACCCTCACACAGACAAGTGTACACACAAGTAAATAAATAAGTTATTAAAAAAGAAGAAAAGAATAGGTTCAATAATCTATTCTTTTATCCTATTTCTGTATCCCCCCTTTTTCTTTTTAGAACAATATCCCTGAATCTATTCTTCTTTGTTCAGTTTTTTTCTGATCATTACCAATAACAACTTGTAACCAACCACCCTAAATAATGGCAAATATCCATAACCCACTGAATGACCAAAAACTGCCCACCCCACCTCTTGGGAATGTGGACATTGTGTTCTTAAAATTACTTCCTGTTGTCTGGGCCAACGGCATCTTTAGGGGACCCTGAAAGAAAATTGGGATAATTGTCAAGTCCTGGGAGAGCAAGTTGTATCATTTGTTGTCCTGGGAAAGCAAGTTGTGTCATTTGTTGTCTAGTCTCTGTGTAAAACGACAATGCAGGCCTTATCTTTAGTCTTGGCTAGAGTAGTTTGTGAGGCTGGACCACCTCAGCTAGCCACCTTGAAATTGTCCTGAGCAGTTTGTAGTCCAAAGCCGATCTTTGGGTAGTGTTTGTCAGCTTAGTGGCATTACCACAATCCAGGTAGAATCATCATTGTGGGGCCCCATCCTCCATTTGGAGACTTCAAAATTCACTGTTAGGAATGGTCATGGTTCACTGCAGAAAACTTAAACATTTTAAATGTCATATGCAGCAGATCTTGAAGAGGTTAAAAGACCACAATTTGTTATGTACATTCAGAGTACAAAACTTAATTTCTAGTTACCTGATAGAGACTCAAACCCAAAATCATGTACAGGAAGCTAGATGAAGCCTTTTTCTAGAATTAGTACTCTATAGGATCATTAATATCATGACAAAAAGTTTAATATATATATATGTATATATATATATATCTTACAAATTTTGAGATAATATTTATACCTTAAGATAAGTTTTAAAGAGTCAAAATAAAACCAAAGAATTACGAGATTAGTGGCAATAGAATATTCCCTTAATTTTGGTTTTAATTCTCTCCCATATCAGGTGGTGGCTCTTCTGACATGAGACAGAGATTTTGGATTTTCTTTTAACAAGCATTTTGGGTTTAGAGAATGAGAGAGCCACACTCCAACTCCAAAGCCAGCTTTAATTTTTAATCAAATTGGGACTACAAAAAGACCATTTGCATTATATGCCTGCAGAGAACAGCAGAAACAAACATTTGGGAAAATTTATGAAATTTTATCCTGTTAGAAATGTGATATACCAATAGGCCAATTTACTCTTTTTCTTGGGGTATTTTCTTGGGATTATTTGTCCCTTTTCTTCAGATGTCTCATTTGTCCATTGGTCTTCAGATTCCTTTAGCTGGATGCCTTTATTTTCCTGGAAAGACAAAAACAAAACCCCTCCCCAACCCTAACTTTGGGAGGTTCCCTTTTTATAAGTTATACCTGATCAGATGAAAAGCATTTGTTAGTCTTATAAGTTAGCTTAAATTGAATGGTTATACTGTTTGATGAACTATCACCTCTTCTAATCAAGAAGTCTCTCTTGTTCAAGTCTAATCTTTATCCATTTTGATGGTATCCATAGCTTTTCTTCTCCTGTGGAAGCAAAAGCAAAACCTCTTTCCCAATGTAACACATAACCTAGTTTCCATTCTGATGGCAACACATCCTTAAAGTATACAGGCTGATTTAATTCAGCAGTTTTTTTCTATTATCCAATGTCTCTCTGCAGCTGTTGTTCCTTTCTCATTAGCATTTAGAACATTTAAAGTTAATAAAGCATTGTGTAATCTATTTCTGGGGGTCTTAATCACACCTCTCTGTTTATTAAGCTTTTCTATAATTGCTTGCCCTGTAAGACTATGTGGTATACCTGTAATGTGCTTTATGTTGTAAAATGCAAAAAAAAAAAAAAAAAAAACCTGTTTCATTTTACTAGAGACATATGCTGGAAAATGGTCAGTCTTAATTTGTACAGGTATCCCCATGATGGTTATAACTTTTAATAAATGTGTGATTACAGAGTCAGTTTTTTCAGATCTTAGAGCAGTTGCCCATTGAAATCTTGAATATTTATCTATGTATGGTCATGTCTGTTTGCAAAATGAAACATGTCTGTTTGCCAAATTTCATTTCTTTGAGTACCCTTTGGTTTACTTCCTGTAGGTAGTGGAGTTTGTTTGTATAATTTTTATAATTTCCTTGGCTTATTGCCAAGTGATGGAAAAATCTTTTTTCAAACCCTTGCTATTAACATGGTGCTTCTAATGAAATTCTGAGGTTTCAAGCACATTTCCTACCAATAGCTGGTCAATTTCATCATTACCTTGTGCTAGAGGGCTTCATAGACCCATATGGGATCTGATATGTGTTGTATACAAGGGATGATTTCTATTTCTGATTATTTCTTATAATTGAATAAATAACAAAGTTAGTTCTGAATCATCTGGAATAAGTTCAGCAGTTTCAATATGTAAAACAACTCTTTCTGCATATTGAGAGTCATTAACTATATTAAGAGGTTCTGGAAAATCTAGTAATACCATGAGAATAGCATGTAATTCTGACTTTTGAACAGAATCATAAGGGGCTTTGAGCCACTTAACTTAAATTTCCTGACTTATCACCTGCCTTTCCTGATTTATTTGCATTAGTATAGAATGTAAGGGCTCCAGAAACTGGTGTTCCCCATACAATGTGAGGAAGGATCCAGTTAGTTCTCTTTATAAACTGAAGTCTCTTGCTTTGGGGGTATTTATTGCTAATCCCTCCCAAAAAATCATGGAAAGCACTTTGCTAATGTTCATTTTCGGCCCATAAAGAGGAAATTTCAGAATTAGTAAAAGGTACTACAATATCTGCTGAGTCTATTCCTGCTAATTGATGAAGTCTCATTTTTCTTTCAGAATCAGCTCAGAAACACTTTCTACATAGGTCTTTAACTTTTTACTCTGTTTGTCTGGTAAAACTATCCATTCTAAGATATTATCTTCTCTCTGTGTTAAAATTCCTGTAGGGGAATGTGTAGAGGGTAAAATAACCAGAATACAATCAAGCTCTA